TCTCTCTCTCTCTCTCTCTCTCTCTCTCTCTCTCTCTCTCTAACACATGCACTCTCACAGCAGAATCTAAATCACTGCAGATCTCAGCCTCTCTGATTCTACCCTGACCCACATACTCAGGTTCTTTCTTGCCCAAACCCTTTTAAAGTGAGAGTCCACCTATTTTCTCCCTCAGCAGTTTGTAGCCCCAGCTTTGCTTTATGGTTTAATCACCGCGGTGGTGGGGGGGGGGGGGCCTTCACTGCAGGACACTTAAGCAAAGTGCATCACTTTTAGTCGGCAATCCATCTGAAACAGAAAGCCTTGACTGGAGTTTGGTGTGGGATGTGATGTTGATAGGTAGCGTCCCTGGAGACGGATGCACTGTGGGCACCTAATGCAACTTCAAATGACAAACTTTTAAATACTGTATATAAACTACAGAGTGTCTCTAGGCTGGGACTGTAACTGAAGTTCATTTCGGCTCCCTGTAAGTGCTCTCTTTCTTACGATACTACAATACGGCAGAAGATTAAAGAACATAATATTTAAGCATTGATCTAACCATGTCTCCTGGGGTAACAAGGGGAAATGTTTTGGGCAGAAGGGTAAAGATCAGGCACAAAGCATCAGTCTTCAAATCCTCCAACCTGAACAAAGAGAATCCTAAATCCTAATCTCTACAACACCCTCTAGCCGTAAAAAAAGAACCATGGCAGCCATTTTGGATCTCCATTGAACATTAGCTAAATTACCACCCGAAGGAAAACAATGACACACATCTTCAATTACACAACTGGTCCATGATAGCATCGGTTGACTCTATTTAAAGAAATCAACATGTGCAGTTTCACACAGAGGAATACATACGACTTCAGGTTTACCCTCAGTTCCTTCACAGACACTCGTCTATCACAGAATCGTCCCCATAAAGCCCCACCGTGTGTGAACTTTGACACCTCTGGTGTCTGTCAGCCTCCTGCATCGACAAAATCTTTGTGTGTAATTGTGCATAAACGTGTCACTGCGTGTAAAATGAGTGCTGGTTGTCTTGCTGTGTAGGATGTTTGTGCTGATGTGGATTAGTGGTTTGATACAGACCTAGAGTATACTGTTTGTCAGTGTGCATGATTGAGTGTGTGTGTGTGCGCGCGAGTGTGCACAGTTCCCCAAGAGAGGTTTTAGCAGAGCGTTACTTATTCACCCCTCTGGCTGAACTGATGGAGTTCTCTGGCTAAGATCGCCCTGCATGAAAGATGGGTTGAACACGAACGATATCAGAGGCAGTCTTGTGCAAACACACACACACACACACACACACACACACAGACACAGACACACACACTCACACAGACAACTGCGAGGCCCAACAGTGCGATTCAAACACATTTACACCCACTGAGGTCGAGAGAAGCAGTGTGGATTCACGGCTCCACTGTGTAGAACAACAAATCAGAAAATGTTGAACACACCCGTTAAGAGACATAACACAGAAGCAAACATCTTGTGGGCTGAAAGCATCGAAAAGGCATGGAATGAGGACACACACACACACACACACACACACACACACACACACACGACCTGAGAGAGTGAAGAGAGGGACTAAAGAAAAAAGAAAACTGGAGAGAAAATTATACAAGACAGAGAGCCGCTAAAAGAAAGGAAGTGAGAGGAGAAAGAAGGCTGCAGGTTTTTGTGTCGATGACCTGGTTGAAAATGTCATGCTACATGCGGCACTTTTGGAGTGGCAGCTTTATATCAACATTTGAATATCCTCTAAATTAGTCAGCAAATCTGTACTGGCAGGGCTCATGCGTATGAATGAGAGTCTGTCTGTGGTTCAGACAGTGTGTGTACATCAGGGAGAGGGATAGACAGAGAGGAAGTGGGTGGCTTAATTAATAATGAAGAAACAAAAGCGTTTGTGTATATGCAAATTGCATGCATGCACAGAACGGTGTGGGTATGGTATGTGTGCGTTCACGCATATGTGTGTATCAGACACATCTTTAAAGTCAGACCTGGGGGTCGATATCTGTGTGAGGCTGGGCGTTCTTAAATTACCTCAGATTACTGCATGCTACTACCAACGCTGGGCTAATCGAAGACAATTTGCATTTGGCTGATGGGCTATTTTCAAAGTGTCTCCCTGATGCTTTCGGAGGCGAGGCAGGTTTCTATTTTTTACCCAACATATGCTCAAGAGTGTAGAGTGAAAGAGAAGGAAATGAGTTCCGAGGGTTCAAGGAGGCAGGTAAAAAAAAATAAGGGGGGGGGGGGGGGGGGGGG